ACAAATTATGGTACATGATTGTGATAGAGGTATTGTGCTATAAAAATGATGAGGCGGATGGTTTCAGAAAAACTTGGGAAAATTTATATGAACTGATACAAAGTGAGGTGAATAGAACCAGGAGAACACTGTACATCATAATAGCAATACTGTAATGATGTTCAACTTTGAAAGACAGCTACTCTAATCAATACAACCATCCAAGACAATTCCAAAGGACTCATGAAGAAAAATATCTATATTCAGAGAGAGAGAGAGAACTGATGAACCCTGAGTGCAGACTGAAGCATATATATTTTTTTGCTTTATTTTTCTTGGCTTTTTTTGTTTTGCAACATGGCTAATATATATGCAAGTATATTTTGTATGACTTTATATATATAATTGATATCATATAGCTTGTCTTCTCAATGGATGGGGGAGGGGCTTAAGGGAGGGGGAGAATTAAAAATAAAAATTTTTAAATGAATGTTAAAGTGCAATTATTTTAAAAGATACTTGTGAATGGTGGCAAAATTCAGGGTATATTGTGTGTTACTGAAGTGAATTAGACGAGGGAAGTCAAGGGAATTGAATAGATTGAGGAACTGGGAAGTTAAGAGTATTTGAGGGAACATTTATACACACACATAATACATAGATGTATATGTGTGTATATACATACATATATACATGTGTGTATATGTGGGTATGTACTTCCTCCTAGTATGAGGGCAGAAATTGAAGAAAAAGATAATAAGCCAGACACTAAACTTATTAAGAAAAGAGGAAGAATGCCCTAGGGGTTGGGAGATTACAGCCACCAGAATTTGTAAAGTTGACAAATTTGGGTATCATTGAACTTCAAAAGAGGAAAATCTGCAGAATGACATTGTTAGAAGCAAAGTCTGGAATTGTCAATGGGGAACAAGTATTCTGACTCCCACCACAAGCAGTAATTCAGGAAGTATGAAAGGAAGGATAACTGGTGCTGGAAAAAGGGCCAGTGAATCAGTGCCATTATGAGGGAGCCAATCTCAGTGTCAGAAGATGGAAGAAGTGAGAAAAGAAAAAAATTAAAATAAAAGGAGGTATGTTAATCAGGAAGAGAGCAGTGGAAGGGTTAGAGAGATCCAGAGCGAGACACTTGAGGATTAGGGTTGAAACAAACAGGAATAAGGGAGCTAACACCTCGGGTAGGTGAACAGAGCATTTTTCTATAGGGAAACAAAAGGGGATGTTATACTAATCATTGAGGGAGGCAGATAATCAAATGGTTGTCCCTTGAAGCATGAGTTCATGGAAGGTAGCACTGTGGTGACCTGCAAAGAATGGATGACACCAAAATACACATAATTTCATTTTCTGTTGTAATAAAGAACTAAAAACAAAGTCTATGCCTATTGATTGGGGAAAGGCTCTACAAACTGTGGTATATGAATGTAATGGAATATTACAGAGTTATAAAATAATTATGGTGTGAAGAATTCAGAGAACCATGGAAAAATATAATGAAGTAAGCTGAACCAGAAAAACAACATATTCAATATAAATAGAAAGGATAGTAACAAAAATAAAAACTTAATGCTGTTAAATTTTAATGATCAAGCTTAGTACCTAAGAAGAAATGAGAAAAGGTATCTCCCTTTCCTCTTTGTACAGGTGAGGGACTATGAATGTGGACTGTTGCAAATAATGCTGAATTAAACTGATGTGTCAATTAGTTCTGCTGAACTTTTTTTCCTCTTTATTTTTTATTCTTTATTATATGGGATAGCTTGCTGGGTAGGAAAGAAAGGTGGAATACATTTGGAAATAAGGTCATATAAAAACAAAAGACATCAATAAAAATTAAAAATAAATTTGAGGCAGAAGGAGAAAGGGAAGAACAGGAGGTCATGATCAGAGGTCTGGATCTTAAGTGTTATGGGTGATAATGAACTCAAGGGATGACTCTTCCCTATAAATGGCTCAGAGGGAGTAAAAATATATTTACCAAAGGAGTTGATGAAGTTGATTAATTTGGAATCCAAGTAGTATGAAGAGATATCAATATGTATATTGATTTCCTCAAATATAAGGTCAAGGGTTAGGGCAGAAAGAATATTGCAAGTCAAGTACTGGAACTTTAGAAAAGAAAAGTGTTCTAGAGCTCAGCAAGTAATTACAATGAAGTTCTGAATAGGCTGAATGGAGTGAATCTCAAAGAAGTGATGACAGTACAGAGTGGCCCGGGGGAGCAAGGAGTATGTCTACTCCTGTCCAAGTGTACATGACAGGTACCATGAGAGAAAGTCACATCAAATATTACGAAGTTTGGTCAAGAAGGAGCTATCTTCCAGAGGAATTCAGATTTATTTAGCTCTCAGCAAAATCATTTACTCAAATGGCACAGCAAAAAGAATGGTTACAAAATTCTTCCCCTACCAGAATTGGGAAACCTGCGGCCTCAAGGCCACATGCAGCCCTCTAGGTCCTTGGATGCAGCCTTTTGACTGAGTCCAAGTTTACCAGAACAAATCCTTCTATTAAGGGGATTTGTTCTGTGAAGTTTGGATTCAGTCAAAGGGCCACACTTGTGGACCTCAAGGGCCACAGGTTCCCCACCCCTGCAACACAGGGAGCACTCTCTCACCAATATATATTATGTCCATGAGTAGTAACGCCCGTGTGTAGGGAATACATGGAGCTAAAAACTACAACATCAGTATCAGTAAACATTTATTAAGCATCTCCTATGTGCCAGATATTGTGCTAAATGTTGGGTATACAAAAGGAAGAGTCCCTGCCCTCAAGGAGCTTACAATCTAAGGGAGGTGACAACATACAAATCTATACAAAACAAACTATATACAGAATAAATAGAATATAATTAACACAAGGAAGGTATTGGAACTAAGAGGGGCTACAGATGATTTTCTATAGAAAGTGGGATTTTAATTGGGACTTCAGGCTAAGGAGGTCAGTAGTAAGAATGGAGGAAAGAAAGCATTCCAGGCATGAGGAACACTCAGAGAAAATGGCCAGAGCTGAAAAATGCAGTGTCTTCTTTGTGAAACAGCCAGGAAGCCACTATAAGGTGCACCAAAGAATATATGTTGGGGAGTAAGGTATAAGAAGATTGGAAGGGTGGGGACAAGGTTTCGAAGGGCTTTGAATAGTTTGAATGCCAAACCATTTAGCATTTGATTCTGGAAGCAATAGGAAACCACTGAAGTTTATGTGGCTATGGGGACACTATTGGACCTAGGCTTTAGGAAAATCACAGTGGCTGAATGGAGGAAGGATTGGAATGGGAAGACTTGAGGCAGGCCAACCCTCAGGCAACCTTTGCCTAAGGCAATTTAAGTTTACTAAATGAGTGCAAAGCTTAACAGCTCAAAAGATTTATCACAGACCTGGAAGGAACATTCAGAGATAGAAGCACCACTTTTCCTACTATCTTGGGACCCATATGGCTGCTTTGTCTGTGAATGTGTAGTTTACACATTGTTTTCCGCTTTCTCTTTTTTGAGTGTCACGGTAGTAATACTAATACTTCCTTCTACATAACTATCCACTTAAATTGTATTTGCTTCCAAATATTAGGGAATGAACAGTTGATTATCTTTTCAACCCCAGAAATTATCTTCTTGATGCTAGGACAATGGTAGACTATGCAAAAGACTAGTTTTGGAGTCAAGAAGATCTCTATTACCTACTAGCTATGTCACTATGAATTAATCATTTAACTTTCAGGGACACCACACAATTCTTGAAGACTGCAAATTAGGTTGTAGATCTGCAGCAGTGAAGGGAATTTCCACCCTGAATTTCTGATAAAGTTGAAACATTTACCACTTAAGCAAAAAAAAGAGATGTCATAAAACATGAATATTATTTTAAATTTACAACTGAATTTTTAGAATGCAAGGATGATATGAAGCAATATTTTGACAAGTATGTTCAGAATGTTTACGGCACAAATAAAACACCTTCTTCATAGTTGAGCAAAAAAATCCTGAAAGATTTAAACAGTTCAAGACCATTCATTAAAATGAACTACCGGATGCCCATCAATGGGGAATGGCTGAACAAGTTGTGGTATATGAATGTAATGGAATACTTTTGTACTCTAAGAAATGATGAGCAGGCAGACTTCAGGAAAACCTGGAAAGACTTATATGGACTGATGCTAAGTGAAGTGAGCAGAACCAGGAGAACATTGTACATACACAGTAACAGCCACACTGTGCGATGACTAATATTATTGATAGACTTAAGCTTTCTCAGCAATACAAGGACCTAAGATATCTCCAAAAGACTCATGATGGAGTCTGAATGCAGACAGTAGCATATTATTTGTTCTCTCTCTCTTTTTTTGTTTCTTCTTTCTTGTAGTTTCTCCCATTGGTTCTAATTCTTCTTTACAACATGACTAATGTGAATACAGGTTTAACATGAATATATATGTTGAGCCTATATCAATTTACATGCCGTCTTGGGATGTACGGAGGGAAGAGAAGGGGAGAAAAGTTGCAACTCAAAATCTTTGAATGCTGAAAACTAAAAATTGAGAAATTTATTAAAAAAAAAACAACTTAAAAAAAACCCCAACTACCTTTGAAACGAGACACATACAGCTACAATTCTTTACTACAGAACAAATATAGTTTAGAATATAACAAATCAGGCATATATTGCTTAAGGTGACCCATTTAAAATCTGAGTATGAAAATATCAGGCATCATATGATGGAATGAAGATAAGTTTGAACAAAAATAACACATTTCAACTGTCAATCTTAGCAGCTATTAAGTTTGCTTTTTTAAGGATGGTTTTAAAGATCTATCTTGCCTTTCAAATGCTTACATACTGTTAACGGTCTGAAGTTTTTATTACATAAGTTGTAAAGAACTTTAAAAGTTCAATTGCCAAAATGTTAGCAAAAGTAAAGATGAATAATAAATGAACTATGATACGAAAATTTTGTCTTTATGCACTTAGCTATGTAATTTGAGAAACTAATCATTTGAACTTACCTTTTTTGATTTGGGAGCCTAGAAGTGGGAGAAATAAAAGATTATAAAGTCAGTAAGTGTACACACACACACACACACACACACACACGCACTCGCATGCACAGGTTCCCCCAGAAACTGAGAGGCAAACATAAGCAGGTACTATTCCATGAACTCTGAATATAATTCATTTGAACTTACCTTTTTTGATTTGGGAGCCTAGAAGTGGGGAAAAATAAAGGAGTATAAAGTCAGTAAGTATACATATACACGTTCCCCCAGAAACTTAGATGCAACACAGCAGGTGCATGCTCAGAGTACTCAACCCATATTCTTCCAAGAACTCATAATATAATTCATTTGAACTTACCTTATTTGATTTGGGAGCCTAGATGTGGGGAAAAATTAAAGAGTATAAAGTCAGTAAACACACACACACACAGACACACACACACCACATAACATACGTTCCCCCAGAAACTGAGATGCAACACAAGCAAGCTCATTCCAAGAACTCAGAATATAATTCATTTACTCATATGAAGGGACAATAGCTAGCATTTATATACAGCTTTAAGGTTTGCAACACACTTTACCTATTTATCAATTTTAATTATTTGTGGAAACGCCAGAAAGCACGCATGGTTTCCATCTCAAAGGTATTTAATGGAAAAGTTTATTATCAATCGCCAAAAGTTGCCAGCTCAGGTCCATTTTTTTTTGTTTTGCTTTGTTTGATTTTAAAGTAAATTCTAACATCGCAAGTGTCCCATGAGCAGTCATTCGCTTGTTTGTTCCTTTGGAAAACATTTTACTTGGCCCGTCAATTTGCTACTAAAAAATTCTGAGTTCCTAACTCTGCAGAGGGAAGGATCGAGAGAACGCCGTGGCTACCTACCTCACCTGGTTGCTCACACCTCCTGAGCTGCTCATGCATCCTCCATCCATCTCTCCATACACAGTGTCCCAAAAGTCTTAGTGCATTAAAAAGCATTTCTTTTTTCTTAATAGCTTAAAACTGCACTAAGACTTTTGGGATAGTTTGTATCGTACATATAAAGTCCACTGATTCATCATCTAGCTAACTCTCTTTAGTTCTAATGCATCCATTCACTCGGACCCCAGTAAGGAGACAGAGCTTATCACCCTCCCTGCCTCCCCGAAGCTGCCCTTTCTTGGAGTCTCCGGAGCTCACCATGAAACTGCGTTTATCCCCGCTGCCCCAGCCACCGCAGGAGCTCGCACACTGTTGACAAATGGCCCTCTCCGTTGCCAGGACTACCAGCCTCCTAGAAGTGGCGCCACTTCCTGCGCAGCCGCAATGAAAGCTTCTGTGTCCCGCCCTTTCCCACCTGGCGGTGGAAGCCAGGTGTCCCGGCTCCTCGAGACCGGAGCGCGTGCCAGCGGACTTGCCCGGGCTTTGCCGGAGCCTCTGCCTCCGCGCAGCCGCTTTTCGCACCCTCACTCCCCCGACTCCCACCGCCTCGCGGCCCCGCCCCCTCTCTCTCTGACCTTCCCATTCGTTCTCAGGGGAGAGGAGCCCGACCAGACTACTTGAGTTTTACGCCACGGCGGGCGGTGCTGCCGGAAAGCGTCTGGGTTTGCGGCAGAAGGTGAAGTGTTCTGGGCTCTTGATTTGTCGGTGTCCAGGGAGGGGGACGCGATGGAGGGCGCCGATGCGGGGGCGGGAGGGTCCCTTCTTCTTCTCCCTTTCTGCCCCAGGGCGGCTGGCCTCGCTGCATCCGCCGTTTTCTCCAGCGGGGCTCGGCCCAGTCGTGACCGACCTTGGGCACCGGCGTGGGGGAGGGCCGGAAGGGGGCGTCTTCCAGCCGGGCGCGTTCTCCCGCCTTGATTGGGTCGGGCCTCGGCTGGAGACGCTCCCCGGGTTTGACCCCACGGCGTAAACCAGTGGGAGGCCCAGCTCCTCCCGCCCTGTTGACAGTTAACTGCAAAAGGGGAGACGTGGGGGCTTGATCCCCACATGAAGGATGGGGTTAGGAGTCCCTGGGTTTGAGACCAAAAGACCCGAGTTCGAATCCCAGCTCTATTTCCTAGCAAGTCACTTTGGCTTCCCTAGGCCTCTGTCACTGTAAAATGAGGAGGGTGGAGGAGATCAAAGATTCCTTACCTGGGACCCGTAAACTCTAAAAAAAATTGATAACTGTATTTCAGTATAACTGATGTCCTTTGTATCCGTTTTATTGAATACATTTAAAATGCATTCTGAAAAAAAAAGAAAAGAAAAAATGCATTCTGACATTTAGCATGGTAGCCCTCACCGTGCTAAGTAACAAAAGCTAGTTGACTCAAAAGAGATCCATACGGTTCACAGACTTCCCGAGAGTCCATCACACACACACACACACACACACACACACACACACACACACACAC